TGCTGTAATCTCTCTGTGTCCTGCAGGTGGGTGGCTGGGCCGTGGTCCCAGTGCTCTGTCCCCTGTGGCCCAGGCTTTCGCCATCGGCAGCTGTGGTGTCACCAAGCCCAGGCCAATGGCACTGTGGTGGCCCTGCTGCCCGGATCCTGTCCCCAGCCCCGGCCCGTGGCCAGAGAGCCCTGCACTGGCCACTCCTGTCCCCTGGGGCCAGCAGCCAGCACAGCACAGGTCAGTCACAGCGTTTGGCTGAATCTCCTGTGTTCTACAGTGTCACCTGTCCTTGCACCAGGGAGGAGCTCTGGGGCTGCAATCACCTTCCATGTCTGTCAATTGGAAATCCTGTTTGGTGGGGTTTTTCATGTTACGATTTCTGAGCAACTTTTGTTTGTTGAAGACATGACCTGAAACTGGAGTATCAGCTTCAGTGTGTTCTGTAAGCTAAGCCATGATGATGTATTCAATTTTCCAGGGTGGTTTAGTGCTTTTATTGCAGTGATACAAGAACACAGTTCGGATAGCTGTACATGTGAAGTCCCCAAAAAAGATACATCAATGTGCTTCAACAGCAGTTGCCAGTCTTATTTTCCTGTATTTTCTATGTTTCTTCCTTCAGAGAGTAAACCTGTGTCTACATTGATAGGATTTTTATAATTATTAACACATAATTTACTGTTCAATATGCAAAGTWATTAATTGTTATTGCTGCATTCCCAGAGCAGGTTTTAGCAAGGCAAGTTTGCAATGGTCAGAGCTACAGAAAGCTCTACTGTAGCAGTAGGGATGTGGCATGATGAGAGCAGACAATGGATTTAAATTTAGGAACAGGCAGGAAAGTCAGTGTCCTGGCAAAAATATCAGAGAGAATCAAAAATATCACAGAGAACCAAAAATATCTAGGCCTTATCCAAACCGGGGGGTGATGGGGCTGGAGAAGGCAAGATTCAAAACTCATGGCTGGGCTGTGTAGATGGGTAACTCCCTGCAAGGTTAATTCTGTTGTTCCTAATTTGGCTGTTTCTTGTCTTTCCCCTCACCCTTTTCTCTGAATTTGCAATGCTCTGGTCGCTGTGGGGGCCTCCCTGTGGGTTCACAGCACCGACAGTTTCTGTGTCAGCTTCGGAACGGATCTTTGGTGTCAAATTCCTCTTGTGATGAAAGGAAGAGGTAAACTGTCTGAAGAAGGTACCTGTTAGATTCTTTAGATGATCAGATCAAAGGTACAGGATTGTCACTGCAGTACAGTAGGCAAATTTCTGTTGTGTCAAAGGAAAGGAGGCAGTGACAGTCACCCCTTTGTGGACACTGGGTGAATTCAGGAACTCAGGAGAGGTTAAATTCGGGAACTCAGGAGAGGTTATGCCTGAAGAACTCAGAGCATCCAGTTTGCAATCTTCCACAGTCAGCTAAGTTTTCCTAAAGATATAATACCTTTTCTATTCCTGGGTTAAGAAAGTGGCTTAAAGAAACTCAGGTTTTCTCATGAGTGAGAAGGCATGATGAATGAGCACAAAATTAAATATAGAGAATTCAAAATATAAGAAAAAAAATGGAACAGGTTACATGTAAAGTTGTGGAGTCTCAAGACATAACCTTGAGCAAGCTGGGCTGTGCTGTGAGCTGGGGTGTGGGGCGGTTGGGTTCCACATGCACCTTCCACCRTGGGTTCTGTCATTCTGTGAGTAAGAGCTGAGCAAAAAGCACAGCTTKAAGTGTCCCTGCTTTCCCTGCACAGCCCTCCCGACAGAAGGAGCTGTTCCTCGGAGCAGTGTGATGTGCAYTGGCGGACGGGCCCCTGGAGGCCCTGCAGTGTGAACTGTGGCAGCGGTGTCCAGTCCCGGCGAGTGTCCTGCGTGCACAGACACAGCAACCAACSCGTGGCTGAGCATTTCTGCGGGGCCAGGAAGAGACCTGCGAGCTGGCAGCACTGCAATGTCACCTCCTGTGGCACTGTGTAAATGTTTATTTAAATATGAGCATAGGAATAGTTTGTAGCAGTTATATTAGAAAGCGACTCGCAGTTGTACACTATTGATTCTACAAGCATTTGATTGTACATCAAAGGTAAAACTATCCTCTCCAAGGAGCACTTCGTAATCCTGGGGTTTCTTTTCTCTAAGTAGGCCAGTTTGATTTTAAAGCCTCAAAAGCACTTTTAGAAACAGGATATTTGGAAAGTTTTTTGCAGACTTCCCTACGTGACTGTGCCAGTTGACTCAAAAGTCTCTGAGTGAGCTGTCGGTGCCTCCAAGATGGGGCAGTGTTGTGAAACAACAGTGAGTAAATGAATGCAGTGAGATCACACTTCTTATTGTGACYATGCTCAGCTTTGAATCCACTGCTGCCAGAAATGCACAGTAAAATAATCACAAAACTAGCAGGACTCCATCAGTTGTTTACAATTACAAGGCAAGTTCTGCTCTTCCTCTTTTGCTCACTATAAAGCCTTGTCATGTTTAAATATGTTTTTCACAAGCGAATTCAAAGATACAACTCACTACTRTACATTTGTAAAGCAGTTAAAGTTATGCTTGATGAACACCTACAAASAAAGATGTTGTTAATCATGCCAAGAAATGTGAGTCCTCTATGGCACGTTCATGATGTTTCAGTGAAGAGATGAGAAGAGAGGTTCATTAAATTAATCTGCTCAAAGTCTGTCCTTGTAAATGAGGAATTATTGTAACAGTTAAATGGCAACATGGGGCCAATGCAAACACAGTGGATYGATGTGATGGATAAGGTATTGTTTCTGGGAGCTTTCATTTTTCATTCTTTGCAAKGGAAATTCTAATGTTTTAAGCATGTCTGGATTACCGAGATAATATCATGGCATATCATCTGTAAAATTTTGCAGGCCACAGTTTTATAATTGTATCAGGGAAAAAAGCATTACCTAAAATAAGCAAATAGTGGTTGCTCTCCTTAACTTATGAAAAAGAGTCACAAAAGATAGTTAAAAAAATTTGAAATGCAATGACTATTGACTTTGGTTTTCTTGCATCATATTTAACGGCATTTTTAAATTTATAGAAGCTGTGGCTTGTAGCTGTAAAATTTTGGCAGCAGCTTCATTTTCATAAACAGCTTGAGCTTAAGGGTTGATCTCACAGGATGTGCTTTACAGATTCCAGCTCTCAGATGGATTCACGGAAGCACACTGAATTTTTCCTCCTTGTATTTATGTGTATGCAGGAAGGCACTATAGACCCTTGTACAATTTTCAAAGCAGCAGTAGATCTCTTCTGAATAAATGAAGTGCCATTTTTCATTGTTTCTACTCTAATTCCAGTCTCTGAAGTACAGTCAAAGTTCTGGCATGACTGTACTTTTGTATTCCTATTAAATAAGACAGAAGCTTCCTCATCAGAGCTGTGAGCAAACATTTGTGGGCGCTTTTCTCTTGCACTTCAAGTCACATGAGGAGCCAGTAACTGGCCAAAATGGTCAGATTTCTTGTCTTGAATAATCATTTTATTTGTTCCATTAATGGGGAYGAATGTCCAAGGAAGAATTATTGTGAAGATAGTCAAGTGCACGAAATCTATTCTGAGCATTTTTCCATCAAGATGATYTTTTCATCATGATCATTAACCTGAGTTGTTTGCAAGTTGAAAATTCTTGTAATGATATTCCTGGGTAAATTRTCTTCCGTATTGCAGATTGCCTGATTAGGGTTTAAAGCAGAGAGGACCACAAGGGAAGCAGAAAATAGATGTTTTTTCTTTTGTAGTTTCCAAACTACTGCTCATATTGGAGGCCTGARTGCTTGCTTTGCTTGGCTCTGGTATTCTGTGGGGGCACTTGAGCCCTCCTGCAGAGGGTTTGCATCACTGAGAATTAGGGTAGCACTACTGTACAGAAAATGGGTAGGGTGGACTGTCATGTCCAAGGCTGACTGCAAGGAGAGGATATTCCTGAGCATTACCTTTTTAATCAGCAATGGGTCTCGATTGTTTAAGAGGTTTTTTAAATTAAACATTTGTAAGATACTTTTRTAGATATTTATTGTCTGATTTAAAAGTGCAATATTTTTTTGTACAGTGTTTAATAAAGATTTTTGGACATATATTTTTTCTTATTACTGAAATTTCTTATTCATGTTTTCCCTTTATATTTAAAGTTGTCAAATGTTAACCCATAGCATTTTTTGTTGTGTTAACTTTGTTTTTGGTTAAATATGCATGTTATACAGAAGCAGTGCTGTAAATGTTTGTGATTGCAATTGGCATGACATTCCTCTGTGGATTATTTTATTGCTTCTCCAGTAACTGAAGATTTTAGCTTTCTTGAACGCAGTTTTGATATTTCTGAAATAAAGTATAGTTTGATTATTCAACCCTGTGATTACCCAGAGACTGTTTATTACCATGATTTTCATGGTAACCATGCTTTCATGCTTTAATTTTTTCAACCTACTTTGTTCATAATTCTGGGATTTTTTTCAAAGCCTCAGTACTTTTTTTAACCGTCTATCAGACATACTGTCAGCTTCACTGCAGTCTGCTTTACACTTCTATTGAGAGACAACATAGATGTAACCTGACTGAAGAAGTGGGAAGGTAGTTTGCCAAAATCCAAAAAGTCAGCTCTGATTTACTGAATTCTAGAATCAGGATTCTGTAAAAGGTGGAATKAAATAGCATTTCTTTGCTGGGCCTTCACAAAGCAGAGTTCATTTTGATCTGACAGAACAGCTCCATGTTTTATATTTAGTGAGTGATGGAAATAGCTCCATGAAAAAGAAGTTGTTTCAGAATATCCAATATGTGTAAACAGTCTTTAGAAAGAAAGGTCTAAGAATGAACAATAAAAACCTTTAACAATTTTATTTAATAGAAAATGAATGTCTAGCAATGGAGTGGTGGTGTCTCAGAGTTATCCTACATGGTAACATTGGCAATGGTTGAATTTTCCTTTTGAATTCCTTTTGTGGAGTCTTTACAAAAAGCAAAGGCTCTGTACAGCAGAGCTGTGGAGCCTGCTGCTGGATGGCAGAGTGCACAGAAAGCACTCAGAATAGMAACTCAATCCATGAATAACTTTCCTGCATGACATCAGAAAATGCTTTTTTAACAGCTGTTATTTTGGAAAAATATTAGTTTTCCAGCTGTCTCTTCATTTGGTCTGCATTTCAGTGATTTGTTGCTTATGAAAAAGTTGACGTCAGGTACTGAAGGGTGTCTGAAGGTTTATAATATCATTTGATGCTTTTCCTGGAAGCACAGTCAGTGTTTYGAGGCTTTTTCAATTGTAAAGTATAAAGGCTTCTCTCTTTCAATATTAAACTTAGGGGAAAACATTAAGGATAAAATGAAAGGGAATATGCCCCTCCACCCTAAAGTCTTCAAATACATCTGCAGAGGAACTGTTAAATGTATCTGAATATGTCCTCCACTTGCCTTCCTCTCAGAATGTTTGTACCGTGCTGGTAGGTGGCAGCAAATAACTTTCCATAACTTAAGGGAGGGAAATGATTTCAGAACTGAAAAAACAGCTGTGAAAATTAAAAAAAAGCATCTGGGCTCACTCACAGACCCAGCAGAAGAGCCATKTTGAGCAGAACATGCAGGCACACATAACTTCATGGATTCAGACTGCATTTCTCCCTCCCTAGAAAGGAGAGCTGGAGATCTTTGGGAGTTTCTGTAAATGCTCCAGAGGTGCCAGGACTGTGTCTCRGAGATGGACCTGCCCAGGTGTGACTGTGCAAAGCTCTGACTTTGCTTCCCCACTTGTGGCATGACAGAATAATTCAAAAGGATGTTTGTTTTTCTTCTTCTGTGGTACAGAAAGATRGCAATCAACTGGACATTTTCCTGTCCTGCTTTTAGGATCTCACAGATTTACATTGTCCTTGTTCATTCACAGACTGAGGGAGGTGAATAATTTTCAGACAGAAAAGTAAAACTGATTTTTCATTTCATTAACAGAATGATACTGCAAAAACAGTCCAAAGACAAAAGTTGTCTAAAAGTSACTGATGCTCTGGGAATGTCTGGATCTCTCTCGTGCAATGCCTGTGTGCACAGCTGATATCTCAGTTCAGCTTTCACGCTTTCAGATGACCAAGTTCCTGCTTTAAAAATATTCCCATTATTGATCTTAGCCCTTTTATAAGTTTGTTTATGAAGTACAGCCACATGATTCTGCAGAACCAATGTTCTGTTCCACACCAATGGGTACAAGATATGCAATACTGAGACAAAAATCATACTGGAGTAGTGTGATGGAGCACGAYAATACAGTTAATTATACAACTATTACCTGGCACTTGCTTAAATTATGAAAGCAATAAAACTGAAATTGGTTTACATGGATTTCTCAAAATCAGCTAAAGAGACATAGAGAAAATACTAAATATTTCATACAGAAGCATAACAACTTTATATAAAATTTCTGTCAGAACTTTGGTTTCTGTGTATTTAGAACAAGCRATTCTTTGGAGAGCAGACAGATTGAAAGCAGGCTGTCTACAGATTTCTGCATCTCAGCTGATATTTMTTTTCTTACCTGAGTTATTTTCTGTTATCTCTACATACACCTGTGTCATTTTCTGCCCTTTTCCCCTTCAGACTGCCTCAGCAGTGAACTCTGGCAGCCATAACCAGATGTTTAGCTTTAAAAATCAGAGAGCAGGATTAAACTACAGTAGATGTTAACTTTTTGGGCCTGATTCTCTCTSCTTCAAAGTGCATTTGTTTTGTTTCCTTTGGAAGTAAGGCTGAAAGAACATGATCAGGAAAATTAGGAAACAGAGTCTAATGAGCTGCATTGGGGTTGAGTGGTTTCAAGTGTGTGTACAGAAAAAGAGGAAKGTTACCACTGGTTAACTGCTACCAGAAACAGTGGGATCTTTATACTCACCTCAGACCTGAATGATGTTGAAGCAGAGATGACTAAAGCTAAAACCAGTTYTTTTAGAAATGCCTAGGTGTCATGGCATGCTGTCTTGTAATTTGGGCAGTAAACTGTAATGAAGAAGTCTTACCAGATTGCTGAGATTATTACTTATTTCTTAGATTACTAGAGACAGCATTATTTGCTTACTGTGTAGAATATGTTATCATTAAAAGACACTATTTCACAAACACATTATTTAGTTGCAGAAAATCTTAATTAAATATATGATAAATATGCCTGAGATGGAGTGTGGTGAAATCTGGAGAGTCAAGGAAATTAGAATGCACAATCAGAAAAAGGACAGATGCCATATAGGGAGTATTGTTCCTTCAGCATTTGGCAAAACTTTATTAGTCTTGTAACAAACTTTGGTTTGGCTTTAGTTTTCTTCAAACTTTTAAAAGCAAAATTTGCATTATTTARTTTGCTTTCAGTGTTATTTAAAGAAAAAATGAACAACTTGGTTTCCAATTATTTTACCAAGGTGCTTGAAATATTGCATGTAAGTATTATGACACCCCAGCCACTTCCTGTGGAACAGGATTACAACTTGAGCAGGAGTGTTCTGGAGACACTGGGCGGTAGTATTTGTGACCCTGAGAATCTGTGCTCACATAGACATAACCCAGAGCATCTGGGTGATGTCCTGGGCAGGCTTCTGGCTTCTTTGGAGTATATTCAGTGCGATACATAGTTTCATCTTTAAAAGGAACTCCACTACTTACAGTTTGTACAGGTTTGCAGCTTTGAGCTGGATTGGCCTGATGTGGTATGTAATGAGATCTGAATGTAGTCAAACCAGAAAATTTTCCTGTAGGTCTTGGAATTTGCGGTTCGTTCTTAATAATCCCTCGCTGACAGGGGCTCATGGGCTGAAAGTCTTCTCTCATAGTAGTCTTGCCTTGAAAAGGGGCAGAGGTTCTTCTTCCAGGAGGTGGTCTGATGGGGGCTGCAGGAGGAGCCTTGTGTGAAATGTAATCCAGGCGGTTGGAGGAGTTCAGATCCATCTTTTCTGTGGGTGGAACGTACTCCTTGGGCTTGCAGGACTCGGGTGGGGTGACCAGCCACGGCTGGTAACGGTCCTGGAATTCAGTGATTCCTCTAAAAGGAGCGTCAGATCCAAGCTTGTGGGGTTGAGGGTTGAAGGGTTGTGCTTGTTCCCCTGGTGCACCTTTAAAATCTCTGCGGTGGGTTGTGAGACTGTCGAGGGGTTGGTCACTTGGTTTGTACTCTTCTCTTGGCCGCACAAACATGGGCTCCACGTCGTGAACAATGTAGGCGGTGCGGTGGATGGTGTTGGCATCGAARGGCCCCGTGGCCAGCTTGACATCACAAGGTTTGCAGCTTGCAGGGGGATTGGGCTTTCTAGGAATGTAGTCATCTTGAAATGTGGAAGGATTTCCAAACCTTTCTGAAGGCGGCTCGTATGGACGTTCCACCTTACAGGATTCTGATCTTGGACCTTTCCGTAATATATAGTCATCTGTAAGGCAAAACCAAAATTCCACCCTTACCTACAGCCATTCCTTTAAAATGGAGACAAATTCTTCTGGTATTAAATCTTGCAAAACAAAGAAAATGGATATAAATGAAAACGATAATTTTATCTGCATGTTTGTGATCTGACAAAAACTATCTTCTATTATAGTATGTGATAAAAACTGACCCTAAAAAATTGTACCTGATGCCCTATTTTGACCATCTTCTCAACAGAAACTATACAGAAAATAGCCTTATACAAGTTTTATATACAGTATCTTCCATTTTACATAAAAGATTTAGCACCTTTGTGCTGACCACTGTAATAGAATAATTTGTGTCAAGAGAGATCATTCCTAGGATGGTGTGTATGCAAGCTTTAGCATACACTAAGCTCTGCTTTYGACATAATCTGTGGAAAAATAAGTCACATGAACTAAACTACCTGGAAAAAAAAWTGCACCCGAATTTCCTTGAGATAGCCTAAGTGTATGCTAGAATTTCCTAGCCAAGAAAAACTCAGAGAGGGCTTTTTGTTTAGAACCAATAAATGTCACCTCTGAACAGGAGTGATSAATGTTTTAAGGCATTATCACCTGCTTTCTAGAGTGTTTAAATCTGTCCTAAGCCAACAAATCCTGTTTCTGATACAGCTAATTGAGCATACTGCCTTCATCTTGGTTTGCTCTTTTTCTGCAGATGGCAGATATCATTACCTCGATAGGTTGGTACGGTGTCCAGTCTTGCTCCTGTGGTGTGCCTCGACTCTCTCGGCCTCGCTAGTACCACTGGTCCAACTTTATGGGGACTGTAATCYCTCCGGTACACGGTCCCCAGGTCAATGTCCCCTGACTTTGGTCTGTATTCTGGTTGGGTCCGAGAATGTAACTTCACCTCATGCGGTATATAATCAGATCTGAATTGGGGAAAACACAACACTGATTAAAAAAAATCCTTTTTTTCCTTATCAAGTCCCTTTTGTAATTTTTCACTATAGGGAAAAATAACAAAAYGTTTATTCAGAAAATTCAATCAGACACCATATGTTGGAGGGATAGCACAGAGGAGAGAAAATCACAGTATATAAACTGAGATTCTCTGATGCATGATAGAGCCTTTAGTTAAAGGTAGATGGTGAACTAAGTTTGTCAACACTCCAAGTCTCATTCACAGTTTAACAATATTACTGGAAGTATTTGAAAGGAAACAAAATTGCAGTAATTTTGCAAAGAAATTATCAGAAAACAGAAGCAGAGCGAAGCTCAAATTACTACAAGTGATAGCATTAGTAAATGCATGAGGAGAATGGAATAAAATTAGAAACAGCATTTCACTGTTTTTGTATGGGTACATTACATTMAAAGGGTGTATATTACATATGTGGGTGTTTAAATAATCCACATAAGCACTTGACCCAGCTGGTAGAATGGCATTTGGCCTTTCTATTTATATCTCCTTTTATTAAATAAACAAGTTTCACCAGATGCCCTCTTCTTGAAAGAAAAGCAATAATAATGGAAAAACTAAACTTTGATGCCCTGCCCATCATTAACAATGAATGGATAATATCTTTTTCTAATTTTTTGAAGGATGCTCTTTAATTTTGTAAGCTTAACATCACAGTCTATGCACAGACAGGACAAATGTACTGTACTCCTTTACAGTTTGCTTTCTTGAAATTAATTTACAACTGTCTGAATTAAAGAAAAAAAATCCCTGTTCCTGTTTCTTAAAATTTCAATTTGCTCTGTCTTAGATTCTACACATGTATTACAGAAAGTTAGCCAGCTTGCCAGCTTTTCCATAAGACCTAAATTTCCTAACAGGCTGAAACAAATACAAAAATTTTACATTATCTTTACAGTTTAAAAGCTGCTGTAAAGAATGCAAACCTTGTCTGCATGGTTTACTGATTTTAATGACCTTTTTGTGGTAACTGTATTTTTATACTCAACATTTACACTTTAAATATGCAAAAAGTGCAAAGGAATGCAATGACTGCCTTTTGAGAAGATTGCAATACGATATTCAGTCCCCTCTTAAAAAAGAAAGAATGAAAAGCTTTACAGAGTTAATTATAAAAGGCATTGTTTTAAAATATGTACTTGAAGGTTGAGGTGCTGTTCATTGTGCCATGATCAGGGCGGATCTGTGGTGATGGCCTGCAGCTCTCAGGAGGGCAGACACTGCCATAGCCAGGGTACTTCTCCCCATACTCGGTTTTGTTGTACRGCTGCGCTCCAGTGTCGTAAATCCTCGTGGTTCTGTGGCAGCAGCGATGGCGTCTGGGTCAAACACAGCACAGCAGAMAATTGGGAAAAGTTTCATTTAAAAGGAAAACCCACATTCTGTCTACTGGGAGTGAATAACAAATGGGGAAGATTGAACTGTGTCAGTAGTTTTTGTTTAAAATCTTTTCTGAGTGATAAACCCACAAAATCTTGTGCTGCTGACAAAATCCCAGAGCACATTTTACTAATGCAGTAATAAAAGCAGTGWCAGCTGGGAGTTAGTCCTTGGTGCAGAATACAAAGGGTGGATAGAATTGATCTCAGTCCTCTAAATGAATGAAATTCTGTCTTACTGCCTTTCCTCCCCTGTATTTTAAATTCTGTTAATAGATAGGGAAGATTRTTTCCTTCTATTTTATTATTTGGAATTAAGCAGTAATTATACCTCCATAAAACTTCCTGCAAACAGATAAAGGATCATGTCTACAAAACATTTGATATTTATGTAGCTTTGAAGTGCCTGCTAAGCTGTGTATGCATTCCAGTGTCCAGGTAACAGTGCCAAGTGACCAAWCAACCTTCCCCTGAAAACAGAAACACTCTACTCTGCAGCAAACACAATGTGCTGTCTAAACCAATAATGGCCTAAGATTTYATTGACTGTAAAAACGTCAGTGAGGTTTATTTTAAACCACAAGCTTTATGCAKGTTTAATTCAATTATTCGTATTATTGAACTGGGTTTTTGGATTGAGAATTTTTAGTTGAGTTGAACCTCATTTTGTGCTGTCTCACTGTGTTATCTCACCATCTTTCTATTTGAGCCTGAGCCAGATTTGTTATCTCATCATGAAAACAATGGTCCAACTCTTCATTAATCCAGGACTTTTGAAATATATTTATGGAGCAAAATTCACCACAGTCTTGGCCAAAAAGAACATGAGGAGCTTTAGTCAGTGCCTGCCGCACATCTCTGTCTACAGATGAAAAAAAAGTGGCTGATGAACAGATAGAAAGACTTCCAAAACAGAAATGGATAGAGGGGTGCCTGCTCTGCAAGTCGTGACTAGAAACTTGTGGGTCATGGTGCACTTTGCAACCACAGCATTTGCCCTGTATTCCAAAAAATATTGAGCACACCTCTGTGATCTCATGACTATTCTTGTATGTTGTTCTTAGATTTTCCGTTTTTTTTTTTTTTAGTAGTAACTGAATTTTTGAATCCTAGGGTGATTATTTTTGCAATTTTTTTTAAAGTAGACTGAGAAGAAATTGACAATACTAACAGTTGTGACTTCAAMCTGTGAGTATATATCTAAGTTTTCAAAGGTTTAAGTGCCTTATTATTTTGGAAAACATGATGGTTTTTTTTTTAATCTATGGCATCGATAAGCCTCCTTTTCTCTGGGCTGAACATCCCCGGCTCCYTTTGACAATTCTTGTAACRCTTGTGCTCCAGACCCTTGCCCTTGTCTGGACTCACTCCAGMACCTCCATGTCCTTCTGGTCATGAGGGGCCCAAACTGACACAGCCCTTGAGCTGTGGGCTCAGCAGTGCTGAGGACGGGGATGGCCACTGCCCTGGCCCTGCTGGCCACACTGCTCCG